CAGTTTGGTTGTCTGCTCTGGAATGTTTGTTTGGATTCTTGCACTGAACAGGGCATTGGATGAATGCTTCCAACTCTACAATTGCCAGCAATATCAGGACGTTGAGGGGACACCTTCTCATCCAAGTCACTTTGAATCTCAGCAGCATCCCTTTAAGAAGTTCAGGGGTCTTCTGATCCCTTAACTGCTAATCATCAACTTAGTAGCACAAGCTTTTGTGGAATGCCTATATTTGCCCACAGATGTTACCAATCCCTGCATTTTAGGATCAATTCAGAGATTATGTTCAATAGGCTCAATTCAGAGATTATGATCAATCGTTTTTTTAAAAACAGCATTATTCCAAATGAGCTTGATATAGTCAAACAGAAGCACTCTTCCTCAAGGATCTATTCATCATTTTTATTGATAAGCCATGTTTGCTCAGCTATTTTATAGCTCACCGTTGGTATTTCAAGTCATAGACACCGAGCCTTCTAAAAATGTGAAGATGCTTTTCGTGATCTCATTAACAAGAATTCTCTGCTCATGTAAGTCCAGCTGAAATTAAGGCAGGAAAACAATGTTGGGGAGAAAATACAAGACCTCTGTATCATTATTTGTATACATTCTGACTAAATAGACTAAACATTTCTTTGCCAATTAATTTCTTAGTCAATTAATTTCTTCAGCGTGTGTTGTGCCAAAATGGCTGATTATATATACATAGCTAGAGATGGTAACCTGATCTGCAACAATAGCTTATAAGTAAATGTTCTTAGAATCTGGTTGTAAAAGGACTAGAACGTGCGTAAGACGTGCCTTAGTTTTCAAACCTAAACCATGGATGCATAAGCCTGTTCCCGGAGGATGCATTCAACTCAAAAAGCAAATTTATTTGACAGCTAAGTAACTCCACCACACTTTAATCAGGATTTTTTGGGGGGGGGGCTGTTTTACTCATTAAAAAACTCTAAATATTTTCCAAGAAACACTTTATTTACTTTCATATATCAGTCCCGTCTCTGAAGACTATTCAAGAAGGATCTTAATTGCATTAAAATCAACATTCAATCAAATATTGTCTCAGAGAGACCAACTGGAACACAGTCTGCAAACCTTGAAATACTTACATTTAATTCCCATTTATTTCTAAATGAAGCTCAAAGCCTTAACATCGTTTGGGACTTAGATACTTAAAAGCCACTTTTTGCTCCATGATTCTACCAAAACATTCTACCATTAAAATGCCCCTTTCACAACTTAAGATATGAAGATGTTTTCACCCACATTTTCTAAAAATGTGAGCCTTTTAATCTGTTTGTATGTGGCTTCTGACCTTTCATCTAGTTTTAATTATTTTTTCATATTGTTGTCTAATTTGCATAAGCTACTCTAAAAGCATTGGACTAAGTATGAAATAGGAAATTTTTGAAATGACTAAGTACATTAATGCAGTATTTCTCCAGTGTATTCCCTAAATCAGTGTTGTCCAAACTTGGCCACTTTAAGATGAGTGGACTTCAACTCCCAGAATTCCCCAGCCAGCCATGAGTTCCACTCATCTTAAAGTGGACAAAAGTCTGGACAACGCTGCCCTAAATACATCTAATTTGTTCACTGCATTTCTAGTTTCATCATGCTTGCCATCTTGGACTAAGTATGAAATAGGAAATTTTTGAAATGACTAAGTACATTAATGCAGTATTTCTCCAGTGTATTCCCTAAATCAGTGTTGTCCAAACTTGGCCACTTTAAGATGAGTGGACTTCAACTCCCAGAATTCCCCAGCCAGCCATGAGTTCCACTCATCTTAAAGTGGACAAAAGTCTGGACAACGCTGCCCTAAATACATCTAATTTGTTCAGTGCATTTCTAGTTTCATCATGCTTGCCATCTTTTTAATCTTTAATTCATTTTATTGTAATTTCTTTGATTGTTGTAAGTTGCCCAGAGTTGTTGAAAGTCAGGTGGCACGCAAGCTTAATTTATTGTTATTGTTGGTCACACAGTCAGCCAGATGTTTAGACTGGATTTAGCGGCGGTGGCTGCTGCTGCTTTCTCCTCCTCTTCTTCTTCTTCTTCTTCTTATTTATTGAATGCACCAATGTATTGTAAACCACATAGAATCTATGCAGCATAAAAATGTGAGTAAATAAATAAACTAGGTGTAGGAAAGTAGTTTGTAAGGTAAAAGTTTCTCCAATGGCTCCAAGGATGTGGAAACAGGACTCATGAATAATCCATCCAGCCGTTCATAGTGAATTGAGTGCAACCTCCTTCTGTTAAAACATGATTAAAGGGCATTTGGACACACAGCGTGATTGTTCAAGGACAGACAAGGAAGACAAAAAGAATATCCATTCCTCCAAAAAGAGAGAAAGGCAGGCTAGGACCCAGTACTGCATCTCCTGCGAGATGGTGTTGCCCTTTCCTCACTGAAGAATCAGTCAGTCACAATGCAACCCCCTTGGCTCTGGGGTCTCTCTTTTGCCACCAATTCCTGGAATCTCCCCAGGAGATCGGCTAAACAAGCCCCGAGTTTTTAAACAAATCAAGAGTTTAATTGAGGAGCCCACGCAGAAAGAGAAAGAGCCTGCCCGCCCAATGGAACAAATAATTAGAAAGGAGCATATTTAGAAGTTGGTCTTCAAAGAGGAGCAGGAGGAGCTCAAGAATACGTCACACCTGTAGCCACAATATTCCTCCTTTCATAAGATCTCCTTGATGAACTGTGTAGGATTTGACTGCACCCTGTGAAGAACATTTTTCCCAACAAGCTGTTCCCAGGGTGTTGAAAAGCTATCATTCATAAAAAATTATTGAGGGGGAAGGAGGGAGTTCAGAAGGCCACTGGCTGCAATGGAAGAGACAGAACAAGGCCCTATGCAGAGCAAGCACCTGTTCAGCCGCCCTTTACAAGAGCTTAAGGTCCTAAGCAGGAGGGAGGGAGAAGAAAATAGATAATAAACGAGAACTTGTTCTTATATCCAAAAAGGCATTTTAACCGAGAATGCTGCATTACCCATTATCCTCTAAAAGAAAAGGATGAAACTCAAATTTGCAGTATATGTTTTTCTGTGTGGGAAAAGGGGGTAGCATCCAGAGAAAGGTATCATTTCACAAACTTCCATTTAGATCCATCCCAGGACTTCAATGAATTTCAATTCTGTTCAGTTTTTTAAAATTAATCTTTAAATTCATGTCTTGTAAAAATGGCTCTTTCCTAATTTTAAATATAAATGGGAAAAGGTGGGGTGGGGGGGCAGTCTTCTGATAAATTATACAACCTTGTATAACTCTGTGCATTCATTTTTAAATTGATTTTTGAAAAAGAAAGCATACTGATATTACGATGTGGCACTTAACTAAATTATTGACACTTTTGAACTTTGAACTTTGGTGTTGGAAAAGACTCCTGAGAATACCATGGACAGCTAAGAAAACAAACCAATGGATCATTGAACAAATCAACCCACAGGTCTCACTTGAGGCACAAAGGACCAGACTTAACTTATATTTGGAACACATTATGAGAAGACCCAGCTCTCTGAGAAGGATGTATTGATGGCAAAGGTGGAAGGAGAGAGAAGAAGGGGACGACCAGCAGCAAGATGGATGGATTTTGTTACAGTGGTGATTGGTGATTGGAAGATCTGAAGGACCAGGTTTGGGACACATCCTCCTGGAGAAATTCTATCTATGCGGTTGCTAAGAGTTGACACCAACTTGATGGCATATAATCAATCCATAACACACCTTCACTGTAATGAAAAACACTTTCCAAGAAAAAAAAATTGTTTCCCAAAGACCCACCAATATTTTAAATCTCTCCAAACCTTGGACCAACACTGCAGGAAAACTGTTAACCTGTTATCTAAATGGTCTAGGTCTCCTTTATGTAATGAAACCCAGAGTTCAAATAAAATCAAACACACTTTATTACAGTCTTGGTGTAGAATATAACCAGAGAAACAGACAATAAAAATGAATAAAAGTAGCCGTGTTACTGAATAGTTTATTCTGGTTACAATGAAGATACAATATTCAAAGAGGTCCTCATTGCAGAAGCAGAAATCTGCAATTATCTATGTCATTTGGTGACACTGTTCACCAGTAAAGAGTTCCATCAGGGTGATCTGGTTGTTTTTTCAATAACGGCTGAATTAATCCTGTCTGAATAAAAGGAACACATCTTGCTTTGCACAGGGATATTCTTTGGGGAGCTGGGGGGGCTGATTGTGATATGTATGTTTTAATACTGTCAAGGGGAAGGTGCAGAAACAGGGCCTGGGAATGCCCCCCTTTATTTGGAGTAAGCGATCAAAGATAGTCTGTGGGTGAGTTTCTCTGAGGATTTCTTGAGAACCAGTAAATCCCTGTAGTTTGGCTAAGGAAATTCTAGATTTCTTCATCCTCAATGTGCTGCTTAAAGCAGAAAATAACAAGCCTTTAGGGAAGAGGCATAGGATAGATTTCTTGGGATGTCTGTTCACCAAGTAGATCTACACAGTTCCAAGTCCTCTCTCTGGTGAAACATTTATGTTCACTGCAATCACATTTATAGGATGGAATTTATCAGGTTGAACTTATTACTCTTAAGAAAAAATGATCCATTTTAAGTTATTGAATGAACTGAGATACAAAGTACAGTAAGCACTCTTATATGGCGAATTGGTTCTTCCCTCTGTTCCCTCCCAATATGGATACTTCTGTTTTTAAAGCAGGAAATAGGAATTAACTTGGATAGAAACATAACCATTCTGGAACTTTAGGGGGTATGGAGAGGGGGACATAAAAATCATTTCAAAGTATAAAAATTTGGAAATTGTCCACCAGTTTGTTATGTTTTGAAAGATACTGCAATATATACTAAGAACGAACAATGTATATTAAGGATGAAATTTGGGCCAGTCCCTCTCTCTCAGCCCCCAACGTCAGGCTCGGGCAACAAGCCGGTCGGTCAATTCCTGTCGCAACCAAGAGATCAACATTTGGTTGATCCGAAAAAAGCAGACCCTGCATATGTAGGAAAACGCTAGGAAGAAAAAAAAAATTAAGAATCAACGATGTCTCTAAACCAACCAACCAGAAATCATTAGCAGGGTTTCTCTAAAATTTCTCCACTGGCGAGACACCTTGCTTGGTCTATGACACACACAAAAGCCAGAGCAATTCAGGAGCTACTAAAAAGCACAGCATCCAATTCAACTGGAATGGATTCATACCTTCCTCTTCGCAAATGAAAGCTTACACCCACGAGAATTCAGCGGCCATTGTCATGAAAATCCAACCCTCATTGATTCTTAAAGAAAAGGGGGAGAAGCTTTTGTTTACATGCTCTTGAAAGCCATCAGATTGCCACAAGACTTGAGCCAACTACGCTCTCCTTTCAGACTCGGAAAAGCTTTTCAGAATCACCCATGGATGCCCTGTTTTAATCCTCTAGCATGGAAAACACAGCCCTTTCAAGACAGAACCTCGCTGGGGAGGGACAGGGAAGCCCTTGTGCTCAGAGAATTCGCCCATTCTGGAGAATCAAAAGGCAGCCACTCTCAATACAGTAATCAGCATGTTTTCCACTACGAAAGCCTCAGGTCACCCTTTCAGATCTCCACCTCTTATCCATTACAATCATCAACAAATAACCAAATCAAAACAAACCAGAACACAAAACACTGCCCCCCCCCCGTTCATTTATTACTGCTTTTCTCCTTCCCAGACATCCTTCCTTGAAACCAGGCATCCAAAAGAGGAAAGCCGGTTTTCAACATTCTTCTTAAACTGGGCAGACATTAGGCGTACCATTTTAATACCTTGCATTTTCATTTCAGCCTTCAGAATTGATTTGGGCTCAGGGTTTTGTAAGAAGCAGCTTCTTCAGGGGGGCATCTTCAAATACAAAGTAGATTGGAGCTTTGTCTGTCTTGCATGTTGCAAGCACTCAGAAGTGGTACCTGTCGAGGTAGTGTTAGAAGTAATTCCCTCCGTGGAACTGGGCCCAAAGTCATGGAGAGTTTAAGAACATTTGGCCTAAGAACTCTGCAAACACACAAACTACCCTTAGAACATTATCAACACATCAATATCTATATAACATCTATAAAAATAATCCTACAAAATACACTATTCTTCAAAGAATATATTGTATGTATATTTTGATAAACCAGGTTTCTTTTCTGTTTTACTTAGGAGAGTGAAGGAATATTTGCAGGAAGTTAATTTTAAACCAGAAATGTAATCAGTCCTATTTAAAAGTAACTGTATTTTACAGCACATGTACATCCTAGTGTATACAGAATGGGGATGGGGGAGAAAAGCCTCTCTCTCTTGAAATAACCTTTAGCTTGAACAAGATTCGTTTTCAGAACACAGGTCTGTACTTCGACTGCAAAACTGGATATATGAAATCAGTTAAAAAAAACAAGAACAAAAAACTACAGGCAACCAGTTTGGGGCATGGGAAGTTAATTGACCACTGCCTCCTCCACCCAATTCATTCACCCCCCCTCCCAAAGTGGCTGAGTTCAGTAACAATGCAGAAGGGTATCCAAAATAAGAGAGGGAGCTTCTATTCTTCTGCCTCTCTTGAATTAATTAACTGGAAATGGGTTTTGTCAATGTTTTGGAAAGGCAGCGGGTGAAAAGAAATGGGTAGAATTAATCACAGTGAGAAACTACCACTTAAGACTCCCAGAGTTCAGAAACAGCCCATGAGAAGCAAAAATTAAGAAAAGGGGAAGTGGGCTTCCTTACCAAGGAAACTAGTAAAATTCAAACAAGCATCCAGTTCTCGAAAACCAGATAAGGCCACCGAGCCGCCTGCCTGCTACAACACAGTTTCAGTACTTAACTCCCTTTGGAAAAGATAAGTAATACCCACCAGATGCAAGTGGTACTTATTGCTATTCTGTTTTAAAAACAACATTAAACTTCTTGTATTTTTGCAGAAGAAATAGGCATTTGTCAAATAAGTACTGAGAAATGAACTAGGGCGCGTTTCGCTCCTTCAGGCAGCAGGTTTTAGACCCGCCTAAATGGCAATGAAAAAATCCACAAGTGATTCCAACTTCTTTTATTTCTGTTTCCCAGTCTTTTGCAAAATGGGAGAAAAGGGAAGGAACCGTGCATTTTTGGCATGTGGGATACACGCCTCCCACTCCTTCGGAAAAGACTTGGGGGAAGCTTACGCGGAAGTTAAGCATACATCCTTTCCTTAAGCCACAAACAGTTGTAGATCTGGTACAATTTTCGTTGTGTGTGTTTTTGTTCACTCTGGAAAGGATGAAGAGATCTTCGTTTGTGTTCATGTTTCTCACTCCACCAGTGGGCATTGTAGGAAGACAGCTGGGTTAATCTACTGCAGCCCAACTTCAGAAGGAATCTGGCAGCACCTTTTCCGACTAACACCTTTCCTTAAAAGGCAGAAGCCTTAGAAAGCTGCAGCTCCCTTCATCAGAGCCACAGAGGGGCTAAACCAATGTAGGATTAATTTGGGAAGAGATAAGAGGGGGGAGGGAGGGAAGGAGGGAAGGAGGGGAAGAGAGAGTGGTTATGCAGATGCAGTTTACATGTGAGACAGAATACAAGCACCTCATCAATTAGCAATTGTATTGTGTTACCAGTAGAACATCTTTTGACTGTAGAAAACTAGAGCCCACGGAGCTACAAACAGCAGTTTCCACATTCGTTGTCCTGACTCAAGGACTTCCAGCAGCGTAACACCAACGGATGCTTTTGACTTCATTTTAAAAAACAGTCTCAAAACACTGCTTAAAAGTTCATTTGACCTTTTAATTGATCTCACATCTAGAACAAAATGTATTTCTTTTGCGACAGGTGAAAAGCCTTTTGCAGGTAGCGACTTATGGATCGGGCATCTGTTTGACAGATTTTAAAATAAGCTTCTGACCTCTCGGCTCAACTCCCAGCCCCATGCTCTCAAGGACCGGGTTGTCTGCCAGGCCCTGCTGCTCCATCCGAGCAATGAATTCCTGGTTCCTTTCGTTCTCTTCCGTGAGGTTATGAATGGCATAAACCGCCCACTGGTTTATAACTGTTCAACAGCGTCAAGGAATTTCTCCAAGTTCATTTTAGTGTAAGCTAAAAGCTAAATATGGGGAAAGCATAACGTAAATGCACTGATCAAGTAAGTAATACTATTTAATTCAATCATGCAGCTATTTAAAAAAAGCTCATTCATTTGTATTCAAAAAATAGAAGGTTGGGATTAGAGGCTGAGCTGTGAAGAGTTGCAGAATCAAGATCAATATCATATATTTATAAATAAATATGTAGCCATAAAATAAAGCTTTAGGAAACAGAAAGCCTTCCATATTTTTAAAGGATCAATTTAAAAACCAGGTACTATAAAGATGCCAAAGTTAGAGCCATAAATGAGCGGGTTTAACCACAGAAATGAGATTTATAGCACTATCCTATATAGGTCAAGTGAAATGTAAACCCCATTGTACTTCATAAGATTTACTTTAAATGTCTGCAAGATCACAGCTGCAGAACAATGAACCCAGACATGGATAAGTGGGGTTTTTTTCCCCTTAAATGTTTAATGACTCTGTTTTCCTTACTTTGCGTCATTTTATAATTACTGGTTGTACTTTGTTTGTATGAATGGTTAGTTATACCTTGAAATGTATTTCGGTAAGATAAAATATATAAAATGTGCTGGGTTTTTTTTTTTTTTTTAATTATCAAGACATATTTGCTTAGGTTACTAAGAAGTAAGATAGCCTTGAACAATCCTTTCACGGTGGTCCCCTCCGAGCAAAGTTTAAGGCAAACATTAGACAGAGGTTTAATCATTTCCATTATCATCGATAAAAACTATTTTCTGAGCATATCCATTAAAACTACTTACGGAAACGCTGCAAGCAAAATGTTATGTCACAAAATATAATTGCTCACAATGCAGCTACAGAAGAAGGAATTCTGACTCACAAAGCGAAGTGCCTGTAGGGCACCAATTATTCGCTACGTGTAGCTTCACATCTAGGAGAAAGCTATGCATAATTCACTCGGATCCTTCATATCTTCTTGCTAAGTTTCATATGGCCATTTGCCTAGAGGGGAGAGAAGAGCTGTCTAAGTCTGGGTGGGGCAAGAATGCCAACTAAAATTAGGATAAAGCCTGTAGAAATTTTGGAGAACATGGATGGTTAATATTGCTTGTAAATCTGACAAATCCAAACCAGTACAAAGTTGGATCTTTAAATGGATGAGTCTATTTATTTACAGTGTTTGTTCCCCCAAAATAACTTGTATTCCAAGAACAGAGCACCAGAGAATTATAAATAACTTGTTTTCAGACAAAGAGTAATAGTCTTTTAGCGCCTTAAAAACTGAAACTTTAATATTGAGTAATAAATCTATCCAATATTAAATGTGTCATTTTTAAAGTGGCATGAGAGCCTTTGTTTTTGTCGTGAGAGATTAACACAACTTCTCTCAGTAAACTGAGAAGGCAGTTCAGCTCAAAACAGAAAGAAAAAACAATGCCAATCTGATGTAGCATGTAGTAAAAAATAGCAAAGGACGAGAAACCACTTCATAAAAAGTCAACTACCTCTCAGTGATTACGTCTAAAATAATTTAGGAATAGCTCTGTAGATTATTTAGCAAGTCCTTTGATAGACAACAAAGAGGAAGAGCTTTTAGATAGGTTTCCTTATGCTGGTCTATGACCTGGTCTATAAAGATTTGATGGTGAGATAGATTTCCAAGCATTAGTCATCCATGGAATCCAAGATGGGGAAAATCCAGAATGGGGAACCCAACATTTCAATCCCAGTCCCTTGACCATACGCTGCCACTATTTCACTGGCTTGAGTACAGCTTTCAGAATGAAATTCTATTAGGACTTTTTAAAAGTCAATTACAATATTAGCACGGCCACCTTTAATCTAAAAATGACAGACCATCACCCATGATAACGGGATATACATCAAACAGGTAATTTACTGTACACTGAATTTCTACTGATTAATGATTATTAAGCAGGAAATAAGAGATCAATCCCTCACTAACATCTATTGTAGGCTCCTGTTGTTTCGGCGTAAGATTTATACCCCACCTTAAAATGAGTAAGACAAGTGTCATAAAAAGGAGCACATTATTTCAGTAACACTTAGAACTGGGTTACAATCAGCTTTAGATATACTGTACATGACCTGGTCCTTCTTCAAAACAATCACCAAAAGCACCATCGTTTAAATGACCTTTTTGCCATCAAACAGCAAAAACTAGCAGGATGCACCAAACACCCCTGCATGAACTAGTCTGCAATTAAGGAGAAGAAAAACCCTCCGAATATTTGTAAGGCCCGATATCCTAACTCAAGGGCACTGTAAGTAATATTATGAAATAACATAACGTTAACCATAAAACACATAGGGTATAAACTATCAAATAGCTTATCTGTTCACGTTATTCTCTTTTCTCTACTCCAAGGAAATTTGCCAGGTTTCTTCAAAAAAAGGACTGGGGTGTTGTGGCGGGTTTATAGCTTTCTTTTTCTCTTGTGCAACTTCCCAGTTCAATGTCATGAATATGCACGATTCTCCTTAATCCGCTGCGTGAGCCGGAGACCTCTGGATGGCGTATAAGACACAAGTGTCACGGGAGATTAAACAAAGCCCTCAGTTAATATTCACATTATCCTCTTGTTCTTTCTCAAAAGATAGATAGAAGATTGAACATATTCTGAAGTCTATAATCCAACCAACACTTTAAGCCCTTTATTGTATACGCAGCTTTAGAAAGGGTGCTTCTAAAGTTTCCATAGTTACAACAAACAGGAGCCCATTTGTTGCCAAACTCAACAAAAGGAAATAAAACATAGCAATCACTGTAGCTCCAATTTGGCCCATTTGCTCTGGATTTCTTAAAAAACAGGAGCACAATGCATTATTTCGATGAACCTGGTTAATGGTATGATAAGCCGACCATTCCTTTCTTTAAAAAACATTGGATGCTCCCTGCAAATACAGGGAGAAAAGGCTCTTACAAAACCAGCCTAATTTCATGTCCCCAGCTTAAGTTACAATCTTAATAATACCACAGAATTAGGGTTTGCAGCACTGGGGTGGTTGGTAGCTCCGCCTTTTTAGTTCTAACTTCTTTAGTTTTCGTTTTAACCTTTTGTAGTTTTTAACCTGTATATTTTTGCTAAGATTTTATAGTTTTTTATTTGTAACGCCTGCCTAGAGTCACCTATCCAGTGAGATGGGTGGCAAATAGAAATCTGATTAACAAATAAATTAATAGAGTGAAATACTATGCCAATTTACCCCATTCAGAAAATCCCTTTTGATATTATTTATAGTTCCTTAGGATTGTAAGAAATATTCCTCTTGCCATAATCTGGAATAATTTGCAGCACCCACATATTTAGCCAACTCACAACTTGGTGAGCAGAAATTAGTAAGCGAGGCAAAGCAGTTACGGGAAAGGCAAAATCTAGGATCACAGCGATTATAACAACAGAGATGAGAAAGAAAATGGCAAATACTTTCATGTCTTTATAGAAGCTATAGGTGACCACGCTTGGAACAGCATGTCCAATCCTGGATGAAACAAAAAACGATCCCAAATGATCAGATTAGAAGAGCTTCTCTGCAAAAACTATTTAGCTCAGTAAAAGGGGCCCAAGAGAGGGAAGTTATGGAGAAGTAGAAGGAAAATAGACATTTGTCTCCTTTTCTCATCCATTAGACCCCAGGCTCAACCAAGGAGATTTAGAACCAATACATGCAATGGTTCTGTTTCTGCTCCAAGCTACCTTTGGGGATTTGGTACTATCAGACATGCTGATAGCCGTGGGGATGACGGCAGCTTTAAAAGCGGTTATGAGCGCAAGGGTCCACCATGTTCTCCTCTTCTTCCAGGCTCAGAGGCAGCCTGCTTCTGCATTCCACTTGCTGTGGTCCTCCTGTCCTCTTCGTAGGCCCTGGTGGAGCAGGACACAGGCCTAGGAAGTCAATGGTCTGACCCAGTGGGGTTCTTTGCATGCTTTTATGATAAGGTGCCCATTTGCTGAGCTTCCCTTTCGTGCCACAGGTCTCCATGAGATAAGAGAAAAAAGGCAGAGAAGGGAAGGCAAATGATCCTTGAACACGGAAACGGTAGGAAGGCAAGATTCCCCCAGCCCAGGGCACTAAAAAAAATGCCAGACCTGCAGAAACAGTTGCCTGTAGATTTGCTTCTTCCCTTCAGCCTGATTGCTCCACAAAAACTGCATGTGGCATTCAACCAGGGCACGTCATCTACAAAGATAATCTGGGGTCTTTGGTTCATTTTAGGATTTTTTGGAACCTTTAACAATTTGTCACTTTGGAGTTTGAGAAGCCACTCATTTCTGACACACTCAAGAAGGGAAATTTCAATTTGGAAATAGTGATGTTAAGAATAATTCAAGGTTAAAAGAATAATTGGAAGGAAAGGTTCATAGTGGTAACTCAGAACAATTAATTATTTTACATCTCTTAGATGAAGGCAGTTTTAGATATGAGGAGGTCTCTTTGAAGTTCTGTCAAATTTGTAAATTTGCAGCTTTTAAAAGAAAAGTCAAACCTATAATGCTAGCTTAAAACCAAAAAACGGTGCATATACATTCTTGCCACAGCAGCTGCCCATATTTTCAAGTGACATTTTTAATAGAAACCTATAATTTATATGTAACTAAAAATCCTTTGCGTTTAAAAATAGGGAAGAAAAATCACACTCTTGGACAATGTAAACCCAAACATTCCATGCCTATGATATTCAGTTTTAAAAGCTATTTTTATTTCAACCAGCCCCTCTTTAATGTTCTAGAAGACTGTGCCCAGATAAGTTCCGCTACCAAAAATTTTGCACATTGCTGCATTTTTCAATGAAGAAAACACCCTTCAGCTATTATTCCTTAACAATTTGAAATGCAACACTTAAAAATATAATGATGTAAAATGGCATTTAAATACCAACTAATACAACATGGCTATCTCCAGATCCAGCAAGATCCTACATGCCACCTTCTGTTCGCATTTTCCAGATGCACAC